GAAGATCTATGTCTGAAGTGCTATTGCAGCTTTTCACTGAACATATTAACTTTTTATTTGATTTAACTTTAGAAGAAAACTTCGTCGACTCCATCATCAAAAAAATTTTTACTTTTTTAACGTGTTTTATTATTTTAATAAACAATTTTACAATTTGTGTGCACAGTTCCTATGTAAATTTTTCCCTCATTCGAGTTATAAATTTTGCCACTAGACGGTGTATGCCCATTTGACGGATCCCAATACTGTGGTAATTGTCGCAATATAGTTAAGGGTACATTTCAGTAATCGATACCTGTTAAAATTCTAGTTTGACAGGGGATGGACAAAGGTTTTATAGTTTAATAACTTCGATCACTTGCTTAACAGTTTTTAATTTGTTATTTTATTTTTGATATTAAAAGTAGTTGCGCACCGAGGAAATGAATGTTGTTCTTGAAGACTTTGAAAAAACACCGTATCTACCTATCTTCAAAGGGGTTCCAATAAATATTTTTTTAATACTGTGCGTTATCAAGTGCTAATAATCCATTATGAATGTCGTTACCAGTTATCTGTATTGAGGCCGTTCGTTTTCAGCGCGGTTTTTGTAACTTCCGCCTGTTAGATCGCGCCCAGGCCCAGCCTGGCCCATTTCCGGCGCAGGACGATTAACAGGTTATATTACATGGTTGTTGTAGTTATTGTTGTTGACTTAAACGCATGAACTCTGTCAACCATAGCCATCAGTTCTTTTGCGTGCTTATATTGATACGAAATAGCTGAACAAAAAGCTGCTTTTGCTCTGTTCGAATTTTAAACCCGCATTTGCAAGTTTTCACCAAGCTAAAACGGTTACGAATACAATTTTTTGCTGCATTATTTTTAATAGAGACATAATAAAGACTTCCAAATAGACCGTGAATCCCCATACTGCGAACAGTTAGATGTTCCCTTATCGTGGATTTTAAACTCTTTCAATTTATTAATAGACAAAAACAATCAACAGTGTTTTTGTTACATACTTAGGTACTGTTTCGCNTTTTTGGATCTCATCAGCGCGTCGCAGGCAGCTCCGACAGAACACAGATCAACTTTTACCTGTTGTCTTAACAGCGCGTTTTAGAAAATACCACAAATGTAGCATCGTACTACAGATGGCGTTTACCGCGCAATTTGTGATATTTTCCAATTAATTATTTGTTTATCAGTGATCATTAATCTCTCTACTGACAATACGTTTTCAGCAAGAAATCATTCACGATATAAAGTCAGTTTGTACCATCATGCCGAAAACTGTCAACGAAGAATGTACAAACTTTATAAATAAGTATGGTGACATTATTGTGAAATTGTTTATGGATAAGGTCGCGCCCCAACTCATTTGCGAAATGATAATGGTTTGTATGACGGAAAAAGAGATGCTCAGAGGTTAGTACTGAAATCTTCTTGGGATTCTCTTATTTTTAGGGGTTTTTCGTTTTAAATTACGTGGTAATTGATTTGTGGTCAAAAATGTACGAATTTGATATTTGTACGTCCCCCTTTGGTGTCGAAATTTATAAGTGGTTTCGACTTATTTGCAGATGAAGTTCAAACTTGTGCCGTTTGCCAAGGATCCTTGGTTACGATGTTGGAACTGTTACAAAACCCCAAAGTGTCCCACGATCAGGCCCATATATTGGACAAAACCTGCAAAGCCATGCCATTGACGTACCAAAACAAGGTTCCAAAAAATTCTTTCTATCGCTATTATTACCAATAGTGTTTTTCTTTTGTTTTGTTCTTATAGTGCAGACAACTTCTTCAAGTCTACGGAGTGGATTTATTTGCAAAGGTTACGAATTATCCAACAATTGGTAACATTTGTGGTGAGGTTGGTTTGTGTCATAATCGCGAGGAAAGGGATGTGTTGGTGGGAGCCAAAAAATGTACTTGGGGCCCTTCATACTGGTGCCAAAATGAAAATAATGCCTTAGAATGTGGGGTAAGTGCAGACCCTTAATTTTTTAGGTGGACTTTTTCGGTAAATCGATATTTTCAGGCCACAAAACACTGCGAAGACAAGGTGTGGATGGGATCTAAACCCTCCGCAACGGGTAATTAAGTTTTATTGCTCATTTTTTCTTTTATTTTTCGTTTATTTGCTTATCTTATCTATATAATAATAAATGAAACTAATAATTAATATGTTTTGTGTATGGTATTGTATAATTTTTTTCTGTTTGAATCTCCTGGCAAACAAATATGACAATGTTATTAATTAACGTAAACGAGAGTGTTTTAGTTTTAAGAATTGTTTGTAATGAAAATGAAAATGTGATAAAAGTGTTGTGTTACACGTTTGGTAAAATAAAAAATATGTGAAATATTTATTTATTATTTGTGTTATATAAATATATCACGATGCAGGGGGGTGCCAGGTACCCAAGGATTTTGTGTTAATCATTGAAACGGGTTTTGTATGGTAATTTTTGAGGGTATAGATAAATGAAGAAGGCCTTCCGCTCTATATTCCGGCTTTGCGCTAGAGATTAAGCTAGAGAGATTGCTCCCTTACCAGCGATAGTAGTTGGCGATAATTCAACAAAGGTTTGAATATACTTAAAGGATAATAATTTCGTAAAGTTTGAATAAACCAATCAGTGATTGATAGTGAACTTTCATGAATTTATAATTTACGTACGAGTAATTTGAGCTTCAAATAAAAATTGGTTCGTCATCTATTATATTCGTTACATTGTTGTAACTTTTTTATTTGAAGACTACTGCCTACATACCTATCTTAGTTTGACGATTCCATGTCCAGGTTTGGAATCCCCTTAGGTAGGTACTTTTCTGTTTCAATATGCGAATGATGAGGATACCGTGGATAGAGAAGGTTAGAAATGAAGAGGTATTAGAAAGAGTAAGAGAACAGAGGACTCCGTAAGAAATAGGCGAGATAGGTTGGTAGGATACCTTCTCAAGCATGAAGGACTAGTCAGAGACATATTAAAGGCAGAAATGAAAGTTAGGAGAGGTAGAGGTAGACCTAGATTAGATTACTGTTCGCAAATAGTTGAGGATGTGGGATGCTCTAGCTTTAGGGAAATGCGAAGATTAGCGCAGGATAGGAAAGAGTGGAGGTGGGTGTCCAACCAGTCTTAGGACTGACGACCTTATGATGATGATGATGATGTTTCAATAATGGAGAGTATAGTCGAATTTACATCGAAAGTATAATAATAAACATTAAATTCACTGGTATATTAAATTCCCTTTATCAACAATTTTCAGTAATTTGAATATAAATCAGGTAGGTAAAACTGCAATCTCTGGTGGAAAACGGGGCTGATAGGGATCGTTATTCAGTAGCCAATTTCCAAGCCATATTATCGGATCTGCCGGTTTCTTTTTTAACAGTTCCGTCAGACCATTTATCAGGACTGGATTTACGTAAAGATTACAAAAATCTGCTACTTGATTTTCTTCTGTTATGATAGGCTCCAAAATTGCTGAAAGAAAAGATGAAATCAAGAACAATTTCCTACTTATATTATGAATCAAAGACCAAAAAAAACCCTAAGATTGTTACAGCTAAATTACAGAGCATTTTAATTGATCTTAATTCTTGATAATTAATTACATTCTGGGTTGAAATATCTGTTCTCCCTTTCGGCTTCAAAAATATTTTCCGAGGCATGAAGTGCTTCAATCATATCGTCATGTAAACCAAACCTAGCTCTCATACTCGTTCTAACAAACCATTCAGATCGAAGAATTTTATCAGGGCCTACCATGTCTTTCCATTTCGTAATGGCATTCGCCGCAGCCATACACAACACCAGAATGGGACCAACACTCATGGTGATCACCATATTCGGAAACGCCGGTGTCCCATAATATTTATTATAAATTTCGGAAACTTGTTCCGGTGTGAGGTGAATCGTTCGTTCCTAGAAAGAAAAAGAAAAATAGATTTATTAAGTAAGAATCCTAACAATGATTTCCACAATGTACCCTTATGACGGTGAACCCTGCGTCCCTTATGGCCCTTAGTACTGTCTCCTTGTACTGCATAGCTTCTGGTTTGATGATGGCTAACGTTCTTTGTAGAAGTGGCTCAATGCAGGACACGCTCGAAGATATGGTCCTTGCAGGAGGTAATTCCCGGAGAAGACGTAGGATGGTAGGGGTTTTGTATTCAATTGGAAATATGCCTTCGTCATCAGAAAGGGGACTTACGGGAGATATTGGGGATAAATAATGTATCTCATCGTCCGTTAGGTTTGTTGTGGTCGAGTAGTAGGACTAAAAATAATTAATCAATTTTTTAGTGGTTTCATTTACCCGTGTGAGACCGGGTTAAGAATAGTCTCACCGCAGGTCCCAGCGTGTCGTAAAAGGCGACTATTGGTGACAACAATAAAAATTTTAAGAAACGATATACAAATAAGTTGTTTTATTTATATTGAAAATTATAATATTTCAACTGTATAGGACGACGGGGTTTTTTACTTAGCATAACGAAATATGATAGGGGGGCGGTCTATGAAATTGTGACGTTCACAGTTCATCAATGTTTTTCTTAACACGGCAGTACTTACAATTTTTGATTACGATAGAGTGATTCCGATTACTATTTGTAATTACAAGACTAGATTTGTGACGTAATATTTGCTAGGTGGGTCAGTGGAAGTGTGGGGTAGGAGGGGTCCAAAAAGGTGAAATTCAGTGTGACGTGTTTTATTGACGGTCCCATCTAGTAAATTTTTTAAAATCAATATTGCGGTTTTTGAAATGCTTACATCAGAACAGGGTCCTCGAATTCGTTGTTTTCCACAGGGTTGCGTCTCATCTCCACTCTTTGGTCTTGAAACAATACCACTGACAGAAGCGTCGTCTTTAGAAGCGTCGCAAACTAATGGCGGATTGTAATTTAACAAACGTTCACAACAGGGACGTTGGGCACCCTTTTCGTCGCACATCGCCCTTTATAAATTACGATAATATTATGTACAATATATTTTTATTTCGAGCCTAAAAAAAACCTAACGTCATCTGTCAGAATCACAGGACAAATTGAACGAAAATTATCTAAATTAAAATAAAATAAAAATTTCTTGCATAACTTTGTTATTATACATTTAATAAAGAAAATGTCTTTATAAAAGTGGTCTGGAATTATGTAATTCATGTACACGAAATACTTTCGGTCATATAGGGTGTTCAATTTCTTCTGGACGCTGTATGTCTTAATTAAAATGCTACAGCATAATTTACGAATAAATTTGTATATATATATGTATTACACACTTGAAGTTGTTATGTAAGTAGATGTTCCCTTATCGTGGATTTTAAACTCTTTCAATTTATTAATAGACAAAAACAATCAACAGTGTTTTTGTTACATACTTAGGTACTGTTTCGCGTAACAGAATGATTGAAGCAATAAATAAATGCAGTTGTTTTTAAGCATGTTTTCTCGTCTAAAACAATACTTTTCATACGTGAACGAAATGTTGAGCAGTAATTTTTAATATTACGAGGTTTTTTGATTTTACGCTTTCTGAACCTTTTCGTTACGCTTTAGTTGCTCTTACAAGACAGTTAAAACACCGTTGCCAAGTTTATTAACAATAAATTAAATAAAAACAGTTTGAAAATCACTTTAATGTCCAAAGTACGATGCACAAAGCATAAGTAAAAAGACGAAAAACGATTCCACCCGCAGTAAGTTTTGATTTCTATGCCGTTTTCAAAATTAGTTAAAAATCGAATGCGTGGCAATGATGCTCAATTATCTGCTTAACAAATTCGAAAGCGTTTTTGATGTTGTAGGTACGTACTTCTTTTAAATTTAGTAATTTTGTGGGTTTCAATCGTGGCTGCCGTCAGTTTGCGATAAAAAACAGCAAACTTATCTTACAATAATAATTATTTATTGTTAATTGTGTTAAAGTTGACTTTGTTGTTTGGTAACTTATTTTCTTTACTTAGGTACGCGCTTTTCGGTAAAAAAGATTTGCTCGTGGTGTTTTACAAATTGCATAGTGTTTTGTGCGCCGCTAAAACGTTGGTTTAAAGTTACACAAACTATTGTAAATTTTGAAAGTGACAAAACAAGTGGCTTAAAAAATGGTACCTTTATTATTAAGTAAAAGTCCCAACAATTATGAAGACAGCAACAAATGTACCACCTAAGGTAAGAAAATAATCAACTTCTTGGGGTTGATTGTTATTGCTCTTGTTTATGGTACTGGTAGTAGTAGGTTTTATTTAATTGTTTTCATGATAAGTAATATTTAATAAAGTATTGGGATATGTCAAATGGGAGGAGCCTAAAAACATGGCACCGATTAGGGAAAATTTATCGTAGTTCCTATAGTGTACCGTGCAATTTCCAAGTTTTTAAATTACGATAAAATGATAATGATTGACACAATATGTGATTGGGCTGACACAAAGTCTCGGAAAGGAAATTTCGTTGAAGGTGAGCGTGTTTTTAATGCCAATCACATTATAAAATTCGGAAATAACAAATCCNGATGGAAGGAGTAGTAGGGATATAAAGCAGAGGATAGCGCAGGGTCGTGTCGCCTTTAATAAAAAGAAGTCACTTCTATGCTCGCGAACGATTAATTTAGAAATTCGAAAAAGGTTGTTAAAGGTGTATGTTTGGAGCACGGCGTTGTACGGATGCGAAACATGGACAGCGGGCGCGGCGGAAAAGAAAAGGTTAGAAGCGTTCGAAATGTGGTGTTATAGGCGGATGAAGAGGATAACGTGGGTAGAACAGGTTAGAAATGAAGAGGTATTAGAAAGAATAGGAGAACAGAGGCGAGATAGATTGGTAGGACACCTTCTCAGGCATGAAGAGACATATTAGAGGCAGAAACAGGATTTAGGAGAGTTTAAGATGTGGGCTATTCTAGTTTTAGGGAAATACGAAGTTTACCTCAAGATAGGAAAGAGTGGAGGTACGTGTCCAACTAGTCTTAGGACTGACGACCTTATGATGATGATGAAGTTTTTTATGAAAATATCTAGAAAGTTAGTTACAGTATGAACTACAAAATTTTGTATATTAATTTGTTTAAAAAATCTTCAAAATTGTCATATAAATCCCAAGTTCAAACGCTTCTAACCTTTTCTTCTTTATACTAACAACTTATTATTTACACATTAACCAATTGACTTACGATTACACTACTTCAATTAAAACAATTTTATTATGAAAGAACGACATTTATATCTGAATTAATTTCATGGACTTCCGTTGCCTTGTTTTCGGCAATTTAAGTAGTTTGTGTTAAACAGTTTTGTTAAAAAAAACGATCGTTTTACGCCGTTTACCTTTTTCGAAGGACACATCTAAATTGAAGGGACTTAAGTATTATAAATTGTACTTGAATAGATTATAGGTTGTATACAGCGATTCGTTTTTAATCTCACGATTGTTGTGGGATCAGACAATGAAAATGTTTTGTTTTTTTCACAAGGACGAAAAAATAGTAAATGCTTTGTTGTTTTTAAAACTCATAATATAGTTAATTATTGTATTGTACCAAAAGTGGCAGTTACTGCTGTTTTTGTATGGTTTCGTTCGGGTTGCTAATTGCACCAATGTATACTAAAATTATTTAAAAATTCCTTGTTGGTAAAAAAAATTTACTTCTAATACTTTACGTAAATTTGAAATGCATTTGTAAATGTTGAACTTACAGTAATTAAAATAAACAGTTCTTGCAATTTGGGGTTCGTTATCCATTAAGAATTTTTATCATGTCTTACATACCATGTGTTTAATCAATTGTCTTAATATTGCTATAAATTACTGTTTACTATTTATAATTTACCCAGAATGAATAATTTAGAAACTTGGACGAATTGTTTTGCTTCGGCATGTTCGCTTATTTGTAGATAATTAACTTTTTGCCAATAAACCGCGGCTAGTCTTAATTGAAATGCTTATATTAAAGAAAGTTGCAATAACAATCGCGATATTAATGGTAATAATAGTAATGCATAATAAGAAAAATGATAATTCTAGAAAAAGATCGAAACTGCATCTAATTGCTCGATGGCTATCACTTTTTCTGTTCACTAATAAGCATTAACTACAACAGCAGTCGAAAACTATGTAAAAAGAGCCACGAACAAAACCATTAGGTTCTACGCAAGAACGCGGCAATGAAAATTAATTTTCTCGAAAAACAAATGACAAAACGCAGAAATCGTGCAAACGATATTTTTCTTGGAAAATTTCGTGTTCCAGAATTTCATTGTTTCGTAACATACAAACAAAACACGACAGTCTTTTTTCCAGTTTACGTATATATTCAATATTTTCTACAGGGGTTAGTCGCAAAATTTTACGCAAAATATTATATCGGAGGCGTACGGAACTTCACAAGTTCGGGACGGGAGGGAGGTATAAGTTTGGTCATTTTTTACATTAGTTGACATTGGAATTGAGACATGAAGTTTAGTCAGGTAGGTAGTACTCACCAAGTAGAATCGTGTGGTAGTATTAATTCCATGCGGAAACCAATGTAGCTTGAGATACAGGCTCCTAAAGTTTTCTTAATTGGAGGAAATTCCGGTTGGTAGTAGCCCTTTCGTCAGCTGTTCTTGCCAAATATACATTGATGACGTCATTGTTTAGTTAGGTAGATTTATGATAGAGCTGATATATTGGAATAATGTTACGAGGAGATCTTTTAGGACTAACGATATTTGGCGGGAACAGCTGACGCAAGGCTGAAGCCAGGTCCTTACCTACCGGAATTTCCTCCGATTAATAAAACTTTAACAACCTGTATCTCAGTCACCTTGATTTTTAAACAAATAGTAAACAAAATTCTAATAAATACTACCACACTACTTTAATTGGTGAGTACTACCTACCTGACTAAACTTCATGTCTCAATTCCAATGTCAACTAAT